AAGGGTTAATCACAGTAACTATGGCAATATAATAGCACAGTCATACGTAATACTGTCTTAATTAAATCAACAGGAAATTTTAATATTTGGAATGATTTCTTTGAATTGATTCTGTGTATGGTAATTTTTATGCATAAAATAATTGTCAGCCATATGCATATGAATGGGTAGCAGTGCTTCCTTCATAAATGCTAATGTAGTTCCAGCTTTTCCTCTGGAGATCTCAGAATATAGATTTATTAACAGCCATTCTTTGTTAAATCAAAATAATGTGAAAATAATTCAACATACATCTTTTTCATTTTCTTATTGGTTATATATTTGAATAGACATTGATGAGTGTATGAACAGCATGTCATGTTGTAATGAGAAACGTAACTGTGTGAACTTAGCGGGTGGTTACACATGTACATGTGATACAGGATATTATATGGATAACGATAACTGCACATGCCTTGGTGAGTAAAACCATTGATTCATCAAGTCATCACTGATTTCATTGTCATTGATTTATTAAGTCATCACTGATTTCATTGTCATTTATTTATCAAGTCATCCCTGATCTCATTGTTATTGATTTATCAAGTCACCACTGATTTCATTGCCATTGATTTATCAAGTCGCCACTGATTTCTTTTTCATTGATTTGTCAAGTCATCACTGATCTCATTGATTTATCAAGTCATCACTGATCTCATTGATTTATCAAGTCATCACTGGTGTCATTGTCATTGATTTATCAAGTGATATCATTGTCATTGATTTATTAAGTCATAACTGATATCATTATCATTGATTTATCAACTCATCGCTGATCTCATTGTCATTGATTTACCAAGTCACCACTGATTTTATTATCATTAATTTATCAAGTCGCCACTGATTTCTTTTTCATTGATTTGTCAAGTCATCACTGATCTCATTGATTTATCAAGTCATCACTGATCTCATTGATTTATCAAGTCATCACTGGTGTCATTGTCATTGATTTATCAAGCCGCCACTAATATCACTGTCATTGATTTATCAAGTCATCACTGATCTCATCGTCATTGATTCATCAAGTCATTACTGATTTCATTGTCATTGATTTACCAAGTCATCACTGATATCATTGTCATGGACTTATCAAGTGATATCATTGTCATTGATTGATCAAATCACCACTGGTTTCATCGTCACTGATTTATCAAGTCATCACTGATTTCATTGTCATTGATTTATCAAGTCATCGCTGATCTCATTGTTATTGATTTATCAAGTAACCACCGATTTCATTGCCATTGATTTACTAAGTCATCACTGATCTCATTGTCATTGATTCGTCAAGTCATCTCTGATATCATTGAAATTGATTTATCAAGTGATACCATTGTCATTGATTGATCAAGTCATTACTGGTGTCAGTTATTGATTTATCAAGTCACCACTGATTTCATTGTCATTGATTTACCAAGTCGCCACTGATATCATTGTCATTGATTTATCAAGTCAT